TTAAAGTGCTTTGATCAATTGGTTCATGTTTTAGTGATTAAAGCCTTTTTAACCAAACTTAAAAACAACTGTATAAGTATAATTTTACAATATTTTATTGTTGCACCGACGGAATCAAACGGAAATGCGCCTTCTTCATCACCAGCTAATATCAAAGTCAAAACCATTTATTTCAATTAGACCCACACAGGCACTCTTGAACGTCAAACAAAATTTTAAAGATATAAAGTGTCAGTCTGTTGGTCAGTCCTCTTAGAGCTATTTGCTCGTTCTAAAGTGTAGATTCCGATGGAGAAGAACGAGCAAGAAACTCCATGGTTACACATGTAATATGGTGTACACATTAAAGCATCACTCGCCATGCTCCCTAAAAGTGGATTGGTGATTTAAAACTTTTAATTTGAAAGTATAAAACTAGTACTACCTCACAATATTTTATTTTACCATTTGTCAGGTTTAATTACAGAATAGTGAACTTAAAAAGTACATAGATATAACTAGAAAAAAACAACAATGGTACGAGGTTTTGGATCCTTATGTACCTCTGCCAACCACATAACAGCCATAGCCAAACATAATTAAAAAATCAACAACAATCTAAGTACAATCTCGAAGCTACTCCGCTGTCATACATACAGCCACTTGACAGACCAGCCAGTTAAATATTCAAATGAACTAGCTTCCACCCGCGGCTTTGCATGCGTATATAAGTGATGTGCCGCGGGATTTTAAAAGCAGCAGCGTGTAAAGCGATAACTGGACTAAAATACACAGATCAATAGTATTCATTACGTACGAACGTAGCTATATATCAGTGAAAGTATTTTGACAATCCGACCAGCGGTTCCAAAGATTACTCCCTACATAGAAACTTACAAATTTTACCTCTTTATAATATTAGTATAGATGGTATAAGCGAATGTTTTATCTTTTAATACTGGCACGGTTCGTTAACTTATAAGTGGGTAAATGTATGCATAATGCCAATCATCTATACACCCACACACACACATAATATTAGCTTACTATACTTACATAGGTACTTAATACTCACGACTACTAAACATCTGGGTATTTGATTTGATATCTTGGTGTACCTACTGAGTACTGTCCCACACTATAATTTTCTCCTGTATCGTGTAAATTCACTTACAAACATACAATTTCACATTTTTTTTATTTAATAGGTCGGCAAACGACCTTTTAGGGATTAGGGATTTGGATATTTAGGGATTTAGGAGGGATTGGGGGAGGAGAAGTATTGGGCCTCCGGTAACCTCACTCACACGGCGAAACACAACGCTGTGGTTATTTCACGTCGGTTTTCTGTGAGGCCGTGGTATCACTTCGGTCGAGCCGACCCATTCGTGCCGAAGCATGGCTCTCCCACACTTAAAACACACTTACATACACATCGCACCCAGACCCGGAACAACAATTTGTGGATCACACACAGAGTTTTACACGTGCGAGAATCGAAGCCGCAACACGTTGCGCGGTAGTCAGTTGCCCAGCTACTGCGCCAACGGTGCAGTCGTTTTTATTAAAATCATACTGTATTTTTAATAATTATGACAGCTGTTTAGAACACTAATAAATAAATACTTCTCTGCATTTAACTTGTGACATTAACACCCGGTTTCTGAAAGGCTTCAATTAACTAATCTCCTGTTAAATCTCTTGTCAAGTCATCTGATTGGTTGTTGATAATTCAGTCAACCAATCAGATGACTTGACAAGAGATTAAATTGATTTTAACATTGATCGGCCTTTCGACAACCGGGTGTCAGTCCGCTTTTGTATGTAGTGAAGTGTCAAATAAATTAAATAAATCTATGTTTTTAAGAATTTGTCGTTCTTATCTCCTGTGATATAGGAGCAAACAAATCACCTAATTATTATAAACAGTTTTTATTAAAACTGTGATTCGCAAACGTCTACATTTAAAAGTCAAAAAAAAGTCAAAAATCATTTATTCCAATTAGACCTTTACAGGCACTTTTGAACGTCAAACAAAAATTTTGAAGATATAGTGTCAGTCTGTCGGTCAGTCCCCTTAGTGAAGCTATTTGCTCGTTCCAAAGTGTAGATTCCGATGGAGAAGAACGAGCAAGAAACTCCATGGTTACTCTTTTTAAATCAGTTTCACATACAGATTCCTTTTACAAACAGTTGGTTCAATTATGTGAGAACAGTGTAACACTAATATTTATTCAAATATAAAAATAAAGTAACCTTAAGGACAATAGACAGTCTGAAGCTGACCAGTCCCAACTGACGGCGCTCGTTCACGAGCATGACACGTACACCAGCATCGCCCAACTCAACCATATTATAGGGAATTAAGCGATCCAGTGCCCATGCCACCGCCAGTGTGACCTTTCAGTGAGCATGACAACTCCAAGCTGTTATAAGGACCGACATTCTGCTAGTCTAACCAATTATAATAGGTTACAGGGCACTCACATTTAGGTTTTAACATTAAACCAATTTCGCTAATTTCGTTTTATACAAAGTAGAGCGGCTTTCAGATCGTAACGTTCCAACTTTTGTTATAAATAACTTGAGATGTTCGGTAGTCTAGGGGAATGTCGGACGGACGACAAATACGATTTGTTTTATATATGTATTCGTACAACCTCTTTACTGCGGCGTCGATCGATATTTTTACGGTGGTGGTGGTTTTAAATAGAATGTTTCGGTAGGTAGTTAAATTTATTATATTAATGAACTTAAATTTACGCTATACTAACTTCTATCAGCGAGTGAGTCTGAACTACAAACTAAGTACTATGACTATCTATCTTAAAAAAATGTTTCAATGATACCTACTCATTTTTTAATTAGCAAATTAATCGCCTTTTTTCTATAGACACATTACACGAAAAATATAAGATAAGAAATTTGTCTATGGTAGTATAAAGGCGAGTGTTCTTATTTTATAGGTATTGTCTAAATACCTACAGAATTAATAAAAAATAATTAATAAAACTGCTAAAATACATTCAACTACAAACAGCTTCAAGAATGAATTTAGGCGGTAAAAAATTTGGTACCACACGCCTAGTAAATTACAGCAAATTACATATTTAATTATAAATAAGTACCAAACAGAAACGGTCGTTAGATATTTAATAACCTAAAACAAACATATTTAACAGGATGGGACCAAACAATATTTTTCAAAACTTGAACCGAAGCTGGGCACAGGAAAAGTCACGTACAGCCAACATGACTAAACTATTTATTTATCAAAACGTCACTTAAGCACGATTTCATATTTATTTTCTGTTCCTACATGTAGATTTTAATGCATTTATAAGTTATTGGAGGTTTAATCTTGGCAGAATGAGTGTTGACTTTTGCCCTTTGTGTGATAAAAAGTTTAAATGGTTCTTTTTGGTTGAGACTTGTGTGGGCTGGTTTTTGTGCTCGTTAACGGTTATTAGTTTGTGATTATTGATAAAGATGTCTTTATTTGAATGTTCGGTGAACTTGAAATCTCCTTTAAAGTACCAATACCTAGTAGTAGATAGGTACTCAATTAACCATTTCGTAACAGTTAGACACTTTCTTTATATGCCTTGCTATCTATTACCTACGGTCAATTTTTTCTAGATGTAATTAATAATATATCTTTATTGCGACCAACATTTACGAAAATTGCATAAAAACATCTCCATACCTAAATATGAATCAAACTAAAAGGCCACCCAAAAGACAACCTTAAGTGTTGCTATAAAATAAAGGTCATTTAACTATTTTTATTAATACAGCTAAGTGGCCCACACCATTACATTACCACCGTCACTAATCCGACGCACCCCCCATCTCGCCACCAAGCACCAACAAAAATAAATAGCAAATCAATAAAAATAATACAATTATCAAACAGACGAAAAAAACATGGCCGTTCGCGCCAAAATTTGACAGATGCGCTCATGACATTATCGTGTTGGGCAAACAACGCCAAATGTCGCGTTCAGTGTTACAGTAATTGTTAATTATCATTTTTATAAGCTTACGCCGCACGCTTTGATGTGATAAATAATAAATACAATTAGTTACCTATATTAACAGAGAGTTAAATAAACAGTGATTAGGTAGAAATATTTTTGTTATTGATTTGATTAATTTAGATTAGTTACAGATAAATTGGTTTGTTTAGGTATATTGTAAACTCTGATTACATCATGTGGACGACGGTGTTATCGTATTTTACTAATTAGATTATATTAGTGAGTCATTTGATTAAAATTTTCATTTTCATTCATACATTTTGAGTAGGTAGGTACTAAATAAACAAAGACCTAGGCAAATGCTTTTCGTCTAAAAATATTTGTAAACGTGACGTGACCTTTTAAAGTTTTAGTCAAGTAATTTACAAATAGCATGCTTCGGCACGAATGGGTCGGCTCGACCGGAGTGTTACCACGGCCTCACAGAAAACCGGCGTGAAACAACCACAGCGTTGTGTTTCGCTGTGTCAGTGAGGTTACCGGAGGCCCAATCCTCCCCCCCCCCCCCAATCCTTCCTCAATCCCTAAATCTCCAAATCCCTAATCCCTAAAAGGTCGGCAACGCACTCGTAACTCCTCCGTTGCGAGTGTCCATGGGCGTCGCTGATTGCTTAGCATCAGGTAATCCGTCTGCTCGTTTGCCGATCTATTACATAAAAAAAATAGCAATTTACCGATAAAAGCACTTTGAACTAAACAAAACAATTTAATATCAAAATATTCAACTTTTATGTGTCAGTCTGTTGGTCTGTCCTCTATTGAAGCTATGTGCTCGCTCCAAAGAGTAGATTCCTAGAGACGATTTAAACTGATATCTCCAAATGGTCTGCCAAACGCGGAGGATATAGCAGACCCTTATCATGTAGATTCAAAGACTAGCAGTACTATTTTTTAGAGCCTCTGACCTAAGGATGATACACAGTTTCGAAGACCTATCTCTTAATAACTCTTCAATCACTAACCACCACATTTACTCACCAGGTGCACCCCACGCTCTTCTCGGCAAGACCAGAAGACCACGTACAGCATTCACGTCACAGCAACTCCTGGAGTTGGAGAAGCAGTTCAGGATGAACAAGTATCTCTCCAGGCCGAAGAGGTTCGAAGTTGCTACCAGCTTGATGCTGACAGAGACTCAGGTGAGGAGATAATATTGTTTGGGATTTTAAGAGATTATTAAGATGTAAACCAGCTTGACACACAAGCTGGTTTACATCTTAATAATCTCTTAAAATCAACCACAGCGTTGTGTTTCGCCGTGTGAGTGAGGTTACCGAGGGCCCAATACTTCCCCTCCCCCAATCGCTAATCTCCAAATCCCTAATCCCCGGTTGGAAATATACTCGTAACTCTGTTGTTGCGGATGTCCCTGAACGGCACTGATTGCTTACCATTAGGAAATCCATTGGTTCGTTAGCTGTCCTATCACAAAAAGTTTATTATTTTTTTATTTTAATTGTTTAATATAAGCCATGTCAAGGTAAAAATTGGAGTAGTTACCCATTCAGTGTAGATTTATAGAAGAATCTTAAGGACATCTCAATGACGCCATAGTTTTAACGTCTTAAAGAGAAATAGTCTGGCAAGCATATCACTACATAGTATAATAAAAAGTCGCTTTTCCGTCCCAATATTCCTATGTGTGTTTAAATGTTTAAAACTTCGCAAAGGATTTTAATGCGGTTTTTTCTGATACATAGAATGATTAAAGAGGAAAGTTTATATGTATGTATAACAACATTCATGTAATAATGGAGACATTGTTTATGAGCGTTGCACCCATGCGAAACCAGTTGCTACCACGGGTTGCTAGTTTCATATATGACAATACAAAATAGATATGCATGAAGTATAACACAGCAAAAATTAAACAGCTGGAGATTTATACCACTTACTACAACCCACAATAACAATTTAAAGTTAGCGAGTTAGTTCTTCACTAAAAAAACAAAACAAATGTACCTCCACATGACAAAATTATAACAAATCCAACCGCTCACCAACACGACACGACACTACAAACAACCCAATTTTGACATTTGTTTTGGCGCGAACATCTGTCATCATGGCGGATTTACGTTTACAGATGTACCTATGTTAAGATTACAAGGGTAAAGCTTTACGGCTTGCGAAGGTTTAAAGATTAATATCACACCCCCCCAAGGGTGGGTCTAAGACATTTATACGTTATTTACACCTGTTTGAATTTATATGGGTTCCGTATAGGTAGTTGTGTGTGTTTTAAGAGGGGTTGGCGTTATGGGGCAATTTTGTTGAAATGTTTACTGTGATATTTTTGACGTATGATTTTGTGGAGGGATTCTGATTTTGCGGTTTATTTACGATTGTTTTGTTTTCGGAGACTTTTAAACTTTAGCCAATATACAATATATATCGTTACGTAACGTTAAAATACCTAATAGCGACAAGCGACCTCGCGCATAATGTCATACTCTGTCGACCATAGATAGATAAAAGTTTACCTACTATTTACTCTTTATTTTTTGTGCTTTTTGTTAATAATTTTATTTTAGTTAACAGTTACATTATTTTATCATTTAGTTTATATAATTGGTATAGTTTTTCTTTTTCCTTTTTTTGCGCTTGCGCAGAAATAAATGTTTCTTTCTTTCTTCTTTCTTTCTTTCTAATATTATTCTTTACTAGACGTATTAAAGATTTTTACACGTTAAAAGGTCAAAGTAAGCTTCTTCAGAATTGAAAACTTATCAAACACGTTTTCCGTTTGCATAATAAGAGATCAATGAATTTAATAAGTACAACAGCTTATTCTATGCTATATTATAGGCAAACGAGCACAATGATTACCTGATGGTAAGCAATTACCCGAAACACCAGAGGCGAGTGTGTTGCCAGCCGTTGAAGTTTAGAATTTCGGAAGTTTAGGGATGAGTGGAGGGGAAGAAGAAAGGGCCTCTGGTTACCTCACTCGTACGACGAAACACAACGCTGTAGTTTTTACACGACGTTTTTCTGTTAGGCCGTGGTATCACTCCGGTCGAGTTGACCCATTTGTACTGAAGCACGGCGTTACCACACTTAAACTTCTTTCTCTACAGAGGAAAAAGAAAAACTATCGTAATGTTAACTAACAAGCAATATGTTTTGTCCACAGGTAAAAATCTGGTTCCAAAACAGAAGAATGAAATGGAAACGATCGAAAAAGGCCCAACAAGACTCCAAAAACAAAGACACGCCACAGACTGAAGACAAGAAACCAAAAGAAATACAAAACGAACAAGAAAAACCGCCATCAATGGCGGGAGATTTGACAGCTGTCAAACCTATGTTAGATAGGGACAGAATTATCGCGCTCGAGAGAGAAAGAGCGATGGCTGCTGCGAATTTCAATTCGAATTTGGAAAATAGGCGCGGTTTGGTCGTTATGAACCAAGATGGCGGAAGACCTATGGACATGTTTAGGCCGTATGTAGTATGAGAATAAAATTACCTTTTCGTTTTTTATTAACTACATAATTCGTTATTTTTGTATGAAGAACCGACAATTTAGAGTTTTTGTTGATACAGAACCATTTTTTGTTTTGTGAGTTGAGTTTCAAGACTTAATTTTGTATTTTTGAGGCTAATTATAATTATTAAGAACTTAGAATTTGTCAAAAACGTATACTATTTAACTAAAAACTAAGTTAGATAACCTTTGCTAGTCAAGAATAGTGTAAATTTATACATTAATAATAGTTGTTAAATAAGTACCTAATAATGTAAATAATAATTATTATAGTATTGTGTAATCTATTAATAATATAGAATTTTCAAAGTTTCGAAAGGTATAAAGTATGTGACACACAAATAAATTACTAGCTTTTTCCTGCGACTCCGTTCGTGGAATAGTGACTTTCTGCAGATTTTTGGTTTGAAAACTTCTTTCTCGAGTTCCAAACTATGTCTGTACCAATTTCACAGAAATCCGTTCAGTAGTTTAGGCGTGAGGAAAAGACAGACAGAGATACTTTCGCATTTATAATATTAGTTTGGATTTGGATAACGCACATCATACACACAGTAAATAGAAAAACTAAAACAGAAACAGGGGTACATAGGTACTGTATATTCCTATGTGGAATCTGTTTCTGCAGTCCTTGGAAAGGAGACATATGTATATTTTTATTTTTCACAATTTTAATAAGAAATAATTTCAGAAATACATATTCCTAACCTTTTTTCATTTTGTGAAGGGACAATCATCGAATGACTTCTTCCACCCAACTGAGGCGAAAAGGAGTGTTTTCACAAATAATACTTTTAGGTTAGGAATATTTTCAACTGGGGTTGCGGGATAAGCGCAATGAGTCACCGCGGCTTCGAGTCAGAGCAGGAGAAGGAACAGGAGGATTTTTAGTCAGTAAGAGTCTGACACTCCCTCCTGTTCGACCCTGGGTGGGAGAAGTGATTTGATGATTTTGCCCTCTACAAACAAAAAAAATACTATGAGCTCCAAACATGGTTTGTAACCAGACGGGTTATGTCGCCGAGTACTTAGAGTAGCTTGACATAGGCCTCCCCAATTGCACGCCACTGAGCTCGATGTTCGGCTCTTCTCATCCAACCACTGCCAGCCACCCTGCGGATGTCGCCAGTCCACCCAGCTGGAATCGAATATACAACAACAATAATATTACATTGACAAATATTTTATTGATCTCGATGAACCTCTCATAAATTGTCTGATTTAGTCAGTTTATTACGAAACTTCGTCGCGTGCAGACGTCTTAATAATATGGAAAAAATAATTTATACTGATATATTTGGGTATGTATAGTTCATAATTTATCCTATTAGATTACATACTAAACTTAATTATTATAAGGACTGAAGCAGGCCAAATGTATGTAATTAATATTAATATAAATAAAAATAGGTATTAAGAAAAAACATGAATGCTTAGTTGTGTTTTGGTCTCTTTCTTTCATTGTAGCGAGAACAAAGATAGCAATATAATTTTTAAAATTGAAAAAATTTTGTTTCGAATTTATCTAGCATTTAAGTTAAATTAATTTACTAACACAAGACATCTTTCGAACCAGTATTATTTATTTTAAGCGTCTAACCTTGCCAGTATTTTGTATATAAATGTAATTATTATATAAATTTTAGATTAATTGGTCACACTGTTGCAAGTATCTGTAAAAAAAAATATCTAGACTTTGACCTTTAACCGATTTTAACCGATTTTTGATATAACAATGAATTTTGTTTTAAAATAATATTTTTTAAAGGGTATGTGTTTTACAAACATATAAATTTACATTTACAACTAAAAATGAACAACAATTTTAATATTAAAAAAAATACTTAGTGTGACCATAGCTTAAATTAAAATTTGAAATAAGAATAGCATTAATAGGTACAACATTTCTAACATTTTATTTTTTCAATTTACAGCAATAATTTAGAACAAAATATTATATGTTTAGATCGAATGTTTTATGGGAGCTACCGTTTTTTTATCAATCAATTACCGTAGTTTGGATTTCTCATCATTTCATCCAGTAGTCGTCAAGCGCATTTGGGTACCGCGGCCTTGGCCGAAAGCAGGAGAAGGAACAGGGTGATATTTATTTAGTCAGTAAGAGTCTAGCACTCCCTCTAGCCACTCCTAAGGCGAGAAAACTATTTTTTACTGACTAAGAATCAGCCCGCGGTACTCAATGGCCTTTGCACTCGCAACCCTGGCTGAATTTTCGACAGCTACAATAGTGGACAAACTGTCTCTTGCAAAATTAGCCCAATTTTGAGAACAAAAACCGATAGCTCCCTTTGAATTTTGATAGTTTTTTAAAAACTGTTAACTGCTTTGAGAAATAACAGTTGGCATTTTAAGTACTTACTTATATCATATTTTCAATAAATAATTATTTACTGAATTATATTTCAAATTACCAAAATTACAGATCAGGGGCCCGAGTCTACTATTTTCGAAGTGTTGTCATTCCTACACGATTCCATTGTCATTTTGCTAAAAGTTCGTAATCTGTTAATTCAAAATGGCTGATCATATCATTGGCGTTCGATGAGGTCGTAATAGAATTATAGTACGAGTTGTCTTGTAACGAATTATAAACAATAACTGCACATTAATATTCTAAACAGAAATAATTGAATAAAGGGACTGATATTTTTTTATTAATTCACCGCATTATGTCAAATATTCATTTGTCATTATGTACGAGATTACCGTTCTAAAGAATTATTTCAATTAAGTGGCATTGGAAAGTAATAATGACGCTATCTTGTTAGTAGATTACCAAACTTGTCAAAATCAACAATTTTGAAACCAATGATCTACTATACTGACACTATTGTAATAGCAGACTCGAGGCCCAGATCATTTTTTCGTGAGACACACAGCTTGCACTTAGAAACTAACATATTATATGACTCGGAAAAGTCACATTGGTAAACTTATGTACTTAAACTTTATGTTTTCACGTAAAATCCTGTAATATATTAATAAAGTAAGTAAATAAATAATCGTAATACATTGTAATTTAATATAATGATTATAATAATAATAATATGCAAATTACGAAATAAATATTATAGTTGATATGTTGAAAACTGACGTTTTAATTTCCTTTGTTTTTTTACCTAATAATATCAAGGTGATAAGGTATGGTGGCCAGAATGAAATCCAATTGAAAATCATTGATAACTATAATGCTTTATATGCAAAATATGTTAAAAATAAGTGTGGGGGAGCCATGCTTCGGCACGAATGGGTCGGCTCGACCGGAATACCACGGCCTCACAGAAAACCGTTGTGTTTCGCCGTGTGAGTGAGGTTACCGGAGGCCCAATCCTTCCCCTCCCCCAATCCCTCCTCAATTCCTGAGTCTCCAAATCCCTAATCCCTAAAAGGTCGGCAACGTAACTCCTCCGTTGCGAGTGTCCATGGGCGGGGCTGATTGCTTACCATCTGGTAATCCGTATGCTCGTTTGCCGAACTACTAAGGTACATGCGGGTATTAAAGCCTGTCGGCTAATAAGGCCTAAACATTAAAAATCTTGCTTAGAATACGATTTTGCGCTCAATCTCACGCACATACATGTATATTACACGTACAAGGCGCCACCATGCGGCAAGTGTTAGCTAACTCACTCGCTCTCGCTAATGGCGTGTCAAACGTTGTCAAAAGTAGTCGCACGTCACGTTTTTACAAATATTGGCTCCAGTTAAACATAAATATTTCTTAAATTATTATACTTATCTCCTTGCACTTACTGTCTGTATTATCGTTAACCTATGCTCGTCCCACATTGCCTTATTCATTAACGTTCTGCAGTCCAAATTGTATTTATTTCGTTATTTTATAAATACCTAACCTATGGGTAAAAAGGCCTATAAAATTGTATAGTAGGCCTTATTATACTTATAGGTATATATACTTCAATATTTGCATTATTTTCAAAATTATTTCAATGGGTATATCATACATTATTCACAGTTCCTACGTTTACGATGCTTCCCAAGCGAGCATTGTGGTCAAAAGATGACTATTTTATGGCATTTCCTCTGAAGACATCGTCTTCTACTTGCACGACTAGAGTAAGAAAAAGAACAATAATATCTGGGTTTCATGATCTCATAAGGCTATTAATTTTCGGGGTACTCCAGTGAACAAAGACCGTTTTGATAAATTCAATGAAGGTAAGAAAAGCAATGCAGGGCATAAAAATACAATTCAGAAGAAGAAGAAAACCAAGGGACAGAAAAGCTATCTAGGAAATTCTAACCTTCAAACACCTTTAAGAGCAATTAAAACAAAGTGTTCTCGCGGATCTGATCGAACCAAGGACACTGAAGGCACTCAAGCGAGTTGGTACTGCCATGCCTGTGAATAACACAGTATACAGTATGGATGACATGAGGCAGTGCTCTCAATGCCCCTAGTGTTATCATGAGGAGTGTGTTGGTTTATCAATGGATGATTATGATGACTTCGTATGCCCTGGTGGATGTTAGATGAGGCTACTCGTTTAATTCTAAAGTATTATTCTGCTATTGACTGGATGATGATTATCAAATACCAAATTATGTTGTTTTAGTTGATTAATAGGATAGTTAAAGAAACAGGCCTTGTTACCCTACCGAATTATAATAAGGCCTATTAAGAGCGTTTAAAAAAATGTTAAATATTGTTTAAGTTTCATGCAGAAGTTGCAATTTTTTGTTTTAATTTTGTAGTTGCTTAAATAAACGACTGATTACCGAATAAAACTAGTTGATTCTATTATCAGTTTTGATTTTACAACAAATTTCCCTTAGCTAGGCCTTAATACCCTCATGTACCTTACATAAAAAAAAAATATAGCAATGCGAGTAAAAACAGCAAACAGCACTAGTATGTTACATAGTAACTAGACTGTCCACGATTATGACCATTGTATGACGTTTCCATTATAACATTATGTGCTCAAGTCATTAGCAGAAGCCAAGCTTTTATATACTATTTAAATAATATAAATTTCTTATTACTTAAATAGTA